GAGAGGCAGAGGCGGCGGGAGGGGCTTCCGCTGCGAGGCCGGGCGGGGCGGCGGCGCGCGCGCGCGCGCTACGGAAGTCGCGTGAGGGACAAAAATGATCCCGCAGCGCACGTCCCTGGTGCGTTTTTTTCTTTTCGCGCGGGGGGGGGAGGATGGGGGGAGGAGGATACGTGCATGCGCAGAAGCAAGTCGTAAGGATGAGTTCGGGGTAGCGAACCGAATAGTAGATGTGGGGGCGCAATCCTAAGCATGTTTAGGTACGGGAAGAGAATCCTACAATTCCCAGTATGTCCCCACTAGCCATGGCAGGCAGGGGTTTGCTGGGAGTTGTAGGAAGGATCCCATGGCGGCCTAGCGCATGCTGGGAGTTGTAGGACTTCCCCACCTCCTGCTTCAACGCTGGTTGGGGTACATTTCGGTATTTGAGAAACTCCTGTGGGGTGCACTTTAAAATGGGATTGCCACGTTTGTGCTGAGCCTGTCGCATCTCTCCAGAAAGCAAACTCCATGTTAGGCATACTTAGGAACGGAATAGAAAACTAGAACTGCCAAAATCTTATTTCTCTCATACAAATATTTGGCTTGGCTGCACTTGGAATATTGTGTTTGGTACCTGGAAAAGGACATTATTCAGCTGGAAAAAGTACAGAAAAGGGCCCCCAAAATGTTCACAGGGCTGGAGCAGCTCCCTGAGAAGAGCAGCTGCTACAACCGGGGCTGTTCCGCTTGGGGAAAAGGTGTGTCAGGGGAGACCTGATAAGAGGTGTTCAAAATACTGCATGGTGTGGAGAAAGTGGACAGGGAGGCATTTTTCTCCCTCTCCCATGACACTCGAACCCAAAGGGGTCACCGCATGAAGTTGGACATTTCAGGCAGATAAATGGAAGGCCTTCACACAGCATATAGTTAAACTATATTTGCTGCCACGGGAAGTGGTGGCGGCCGCCAGTCTGGATGGCGTTAAAAGGGAATTGGACAGATGCATGAGACAGCAGGCTCTCGGGGCTACTAGCCTCGCTTGGCTAGGGGCTGCCTCCTTCACCAGGGGTGGCTCGCCTGCATGCACCCGTTGCTGAGGGGCTGGGCAGGGGGAGGTCTTGCCCCCATCCCGCTGGAGGGATCCTGTGGGCAGCTGGGTGGCCACTATGTACCGAGTCCTGGACTAGATGAACCTTTGGGGTGATGCAACAGGCCTCTTCTCATGTTCTTATGATCTTATGCTGCTTCATATTCAGCAAATCCTGAGGTGTTTAATGGGCTCCTCAGTGTCTCTCTTCTATGAGATGGTGTGATTCAGCTAATTGCTAGTGGTGCAATAGAAGCAGTGCATCTTTAAAAAAATGGTAGTGGCTGGCAGTTGCCTCTTTTTGAAAGAGGTTATTACAGGTTTTTTTCCTGGAGCAGATTTTAATATCCATGTTGCTTTGAATTTTTTATCTGCCATCTTGACAGCTAAAAGACTGGCATTACGACACACGGAGGATTAAGCACTCACCGCCTGTAAGGCAACCGAACAACAATTGCAACATTTGAATGGGCGGTATTTATGTATTTATTTAATCTTTATACCACCCAATAACCAAAGCTGTACTGCTAGACTGAAGGCACTATCCGATGGATGCATACATGGATACTGGGGGCCCTTTTGTTGAAATCTATGCATAATTTCTAGAAAATTCCATGCAAATCCATGTATATTTAAACAAGATATTTTTTTTTAATTGCCCATGCCTTCAAGCACCAGCTCGGGGACTCTTTCCTGTGTTCACAATTTTGGGGACCCTGATTTGGAGCCATAATTTTGCCAGAAAGTAAGAAAGAGAAAGAAATTCAACAGGAATTACTTCTGAGTAGGTCCCCTGGATCCTAAGGATGTTCCACAAATATTTATTCAGCCGTATATGTGAACCTTTCCAAGCATTCAAAAAGCCATTCCTGCACATCTTCTAAGAAGGCCTTACAACAGCCTTGTAAGGTAAGGTTATAATGGGTTTATAACTGGGTCAGTCACAGACTCTCAGCCCAGAATGAATAAACCGCACTGAGTTCTTTAAAAGAAAACAGATGGGAGACACACACACACACACACACACCCACCCACCCACCCACCCACCCAGCCATTGCAGCCAGGATTAGTGAACCCTTAGATCAGATCTGTGATCTGTGGGGATCTGGGGATCCTTACCTGTTCTTTCTGAGTT